GCAACAATACTACAGCGAGAATCAAAGTTACTCCTTCTTTCTTTGCGTGAACATTTGGCGGTGTTATGCAAATCTTCCCACACAGTGACATAGACATGTGGGGGCGTGTTAGAACGAGCCGTTTTAGGAGGGCGTGGACCAGTCTTAACTTTTAAAAAGAATATCTCTTTGGGTTTGAGACTTTAGTCTTTGCAACTTTAGGGATCTTATCTATTCACAAACAGCTTGTAACACTCCAAAGAGAAAGGAAAACTTGAAATCGAAACATATGACGCCTTTAAGAGATGATGTTTAAAATAGTGCTCTCTGCTGGTGTCAGTTTGACATTGCAGCTGAGGAGTACACAGACTGCCTTCCTGATGGAGATCTGCTGGCTGAGGAGAGGAACAGCGAGCCGGCCAGTCCTCTGGATCCTGTGCCACCACTGGCACTCGACTTCAACGACAATGAGGATATACCCACTGATCTCAGTGATTCCTCAGTGACAGATGATGAAGGTTTGAAAAAAAAAACTCCTCTTGTTTCATGTTTTAACCGATGTTTTAAACTTTAAATTGCTTGCACTTCTTGTGTTATTGCCTCCTCACTTGTTGTATTCCTTATTTGTAAGTCACTTTAAACAGGTGTTTATATTCAATTAATCTATCTATCTATCTATCTATCTATCTATCTATTTCTATATAATATTTCATTTTGCTTTTTATCAAAAAAGGGGGAAAAAACATTATTTTTATATAATTAAAATATAACAATTAAAAATAAAGTTATTTAAATAATAATCAAATAAATAAATTATAATAAATACAATTAATTTAATAATTTAAATATAATTTAAATGTGTTTATTTTATTTTAATTATATTATATAATATAATTTAAATAAAATAAATAAATATTACAATATGAAGTGAACACTTTCACATTTTCAAAACCAATATAAACATTTCCACAGTTTGGAAGCAGCACAAAGCAATATGGATGTTTATCAATTTAATCAATTCATTTTGTTATAACTTACTACATGTAGATACATATTCTGTCTTATTCTGAAAATTTCATTTGAATAGTGAACAGTGTGCGACTCTACACATACAGTATTTTGATGCCAATACTTGAGCAGTGCTGTACAGTTCATCTTTACGTTTGAATGTTTATTTAGGCGATGAGGTTCAAGCATTCCACGAGGATCTGAACGGCCGTCAGTACATCAACGAGGTGTATAAATTCGGTGTTGATAAGCTGTACACCATTCTCTTCACTGAGTCCCAGTTCATGACAGACTTTATGGATCAGAGGAGATTCACAGGTCAGAACACTTCAAAAACAGACTGAACTTTACATGAATAATCAAAATAAACCCTAATAGAATTATCAAGACCATGAAGAGATTTATTTATCTGTAATGTCCAGCTCACTGTATATTATACTGCTCATTACAGAGTTACTTGCCAAATAATTCAGTATTGAATTTGAGTTTAAATTACTTTCTTTGATTATTTTATCTATTATTGTATATTTATTCATTTTTATTTTAGTTTATTTTTACCTATTACCTACAAGCTGAAATCTAGCTGAAACTAAATAAGTTATATATATATATATATATATATATATATATATATACTTGTAGCTGTTATGTATCTTTGTAAGTCATTGTAAGCCCTCTTTTGAGGCACGCGCAAGCGCACGAACTAATAATATATATATATTATTTTTATTAATTTTTTTTATTTAACTATAATAACTGTGCTTCTGATATGCTTGCTTTGGTTTTGCACATCTATTCACAGATGTGGTGTATCAGCCTTGGAAGAAGGAAGATGCTGGAAATCAGACCAGGGCGATCATGTACACAATTTCCCTGACCAACCCACTTGCTCCTAAAACAGCTACAGTTACTGAGACTCAGGTGAGACGTTCATCTGGACTGGAATTCTCCTCAGTACTGTTTTTTGTGTGTGTGTGTGTGTGTGTTTTATTTTTATTTATTTTTTCATTGCAACCTCTCTGAACTAGACTCTGTATAAGGCCAGCCAGGAGAGTGAGTGCTACATTATCGATGCAGAAGTCATCACTCATGACGTGCCGTACCATGACTACTTCTACACCCTAAACCGTTACATGCTCACGCGCGTGGCCAAGAACAAGTGTCGGCTGAGGTACGGATGAACAGGACAGTAGTTTTTCAATGGCAAGGCCAAACAGAGAGAGGCAGGTGTGGATTGACAATAATGTGATTAATTCGTCCTTCAGGGTTTCTACAGAGTTGAGGTACAGGAAACAGCCATGGGGGCTGGTGAAGGGCTTCATTGAGAAGAACTTCTGGAGTGGGCTAGATGAGAACTTCAAAAGCCTTGGTAAGACAGTTTCAATGTCCATCCATTATGAACTCACCTACAGCCATCCTGAGTTTCACTCACAACCACCCAAAACCACCTTGAGCCCCAACTGCAACTTTCTTTAGCCTCAACCTCAACCATCTTAAGAGCCGTCCACAACACTAATGAGTTCCACCCAAAACAAGAGTTTCACCCATAACAATATCAAGCTCCACCCAAAACAAAAATTTAACCCCACCCACAATAATATTGAGTCCTGCCCACAACAACATCGAGCTCCATCCACAACAATATCGATTCCCACCCACGACCATCTTGAGCACCGCCCACATCTATCTTCTACTTCACGCCACATTTTCCAGCAATCACTCCAACCACAACAATATGGAGCCCCACCCACAACAAAATTGAATTCTGCACACAACATCAAGTCCCAGCCACAATATTGAGCCCCACACACAATATTAAACTGCACCCATAACCATATTGAGCTCCATCCACAACATTTGGAGTTCCACCCACAACAATATCAAGCCCCACCCACAATAATATTGTAGCTCTGCCCACAACAACATCGAGCTTCACCCATAGCAATATCAATATTGAGCCCTACCCAAACAATATTGACCCCCAAACACAATAAATATTGTAGCTCCATCCACAACAACATTGAGCTCCACCCACAACTATATTGATCACCACCCACAACAATAAAGAGTTCCATCCTCAACAATATTAAGCTCTGCCCAAACTATATTGAATCCCACCTACAACAATATAAATTCCCACCCATTACAACATTGAGCCCCACCCAGAACAATAACAATTCCCACCCACAACCATCTTGAGCACCACCCACAATTTTCTTCCGCTTGACTCCACGTTTTGCATTAATGTTAGTCCTTCTGTTGTGCAGAATTCTTTGTCACCACTAAAAAAAGTTGTTTTATCAGAACTGGAGTTAGCAAAGATGGAGGACGCTCTAATGGAAAGCCACAGACTATCTCCTAAAGCTAAAGCAGTGAAGAACTCCACCCTAAGACGGAGAAAAAGACCCCCCGCCCACCTGCGCACAGCCCATCTAGATGAGACCCTCAGTCCTGTTACCACACCAACAGACGAGGAGGTCATCCACCGCATCAAACACGTGGCAGGTGAGTTCATGCACATTCAAATGTTATCAAATACAAAAGATATTAGGTTTAAATTTATAAGACTGGTTGCATTTGCATGCACTCTGCCCACAGGTTCCACTCAGACAAGACACTTTCCTGAGCACACGCCAGGGGGCGGGATTTTCTGCAACCTCTCTAAGCCACTCCTCATCATCAGCTTTGTGTAAGTAGTACTGTCTCTTTTAATTAGTACTGATACAGTTTTGTTTATTTTAAATGTTTTTATAAATATGACTTAGTTAATTTTTTCTTTTCTTTTCTTTTCTTTTTTTTTTTTTTGGTCTTGCCTCTTGTGGTTGGCCTTAGGATCTGTATAAGGTACATTCCTTTACTGATGTCAAATATATATCCATTCAGAAAATCCCATATCTATCCTGCCATTCTAGTCCATTTTCTCAGTGCCCCTCTATCAGTCTTATGCTGCGCTTCATTCAATGCAACAAGTCCAAATTTCTGTGTCTGTTTCTGTGGACAATAGTAGGAATATCTCATATGTCTGTGTGTAGCACATTTCCTTCCTCATCTTACATGCGATCATGTTCACTCTACTAATCACAGGTCCAGCGTTTGTCAGTTTTTTCTTCACTGAATGTGTCCATGTGCTCTGTTTTTCAAGTGTCTGTTTGTTGTCTCTCTGCAGTCTGGTGCTACTGGTGTTTTTGAATGTGATGCTGTTCTATAAACTCTGGATGCTGGAGTATTCTGCACAAAGCCTCACCAGCTTGCAGGGCTTACGCCTACATGAAAGGTACAAAATGTGCTACAACTTCTTCACACCTACAACAATATTGAGCCAAGACCCACCCACCAACATCAAGACCCATCCACGATGGTATTAAACTCCACCCACAGCAATATCAATCTCCACCATCAATAATGTCGGGTCACACCCACATTTGTCATCTCCTTCCACAACACCAAGACCCACCACAATTATATTGACCTCCACCCACAGCAATATTAAGCTCCACCCACAACAATGTCGAGTCACACTTACAGCAACATTGAGCCACGCCAACAATTGTGAGCTCCTCCCATAACATTAATACCCACCCAACAGCAATATTAAGCCCCACCCACAACAATGTCGAGTCACACTTACAGCAGTATTGAGCCACGCCCACAATTTGAGCTCCTCCCACAAAACCAAGACCCACCAACAATGATATTGAGCTCCACCCACAACAATGTCAAATCACACCTACAACAATATTGAGCCATGACCATATTTATGAGCTCCTCCCATAACACTAATACCCACGCACAATAATATTAAGCTTCACCCACAACAATGTTGAGTCACACTTACAGCAATATTGAGCCACGCCCACAGTTGTGAGTTCCTCCCACAACATCAAGACCCACTCACTATAGGTGTGTTCGACTTGAAGTGAGACTGCGCAGATCGATCAAAGTACAGCTTTCGAAGCCATCTGCTCTCTATAGCTCCCCACCCACAATATTATTAAACTCCACCTACAACAATAACAAGCCACACCCAACAATAACAACAATTATTGAGTCATGCCCACAATAATTCAGAGTCACACAAGTCACACCCACATAAAGAGCTCCACCCACAGCAATATCAAACCCCACCCACAATATTAAACTCCACCTACAACAATAACAAGCCACACCCAACAATAACAACAATTGAGTCATGCCCACAATAATTCAGAGTCACACCCACAGAAAGAGCTCCACCCACAGCAATATCAAACCCCACCCACAATATTATTAAACTCCACCTACAACAATAACAAGCCACACCCAACAATAATAACAATACTGAGTCATGCCCACAATAATTCAGTCGCACAAGACACCCACAGTTGTGATCTCCTCCCGAAAACCAAGACAACAATAAAGAGCTCCACCCACAACACCAAGACCCATCCACAATAAGATCATGTTCTACCCACAACATTTAGTCCCGCCCATAGTTGTAAGCCCCTCCCACAACATCAAGACCCAATCACAATATTTTTGAGCTCCACCCACAGCAATAAACAGCAATCAAGCCCCACCCACATTTGTGAGCTCCTCCCACAACATCCCAAGAACAATCCCAAGCACATGCACAGATGTTTGGACTGCACTCACCCCTCCTGATTTTGAAATTTATTATAAGTGTCTATACATTCCTAAACTCAGTTGACAGACCTGTGTAGATCACTTAGTGGTGGTGTTTTTGTTACCATGCATTTTAGCAGTAAACTGCCATCTACACAGATGGAATGGGCACAGCTCCTGGAGTCCCAGCAGCGCTACCACGACGCGGAGCTGCAGAAATGGAGAGAGATTGTCAAATCTTCGGTACTGTTATTGGATCAGGTATATAATATGTTCGCATACACACAGAAGGGATTTGATTATGCTTGATTGTAAAATGACCGCATATGTGTCTTCACATAGATGAAGGATTCCTTACTGAGCCTACAGAAAGGTGTGGGTCTACAAGATTGCAACTCAGACTCGGACGAGAAGAGAAGTCGATATCACTGACACTTACCCTCCAGGCCACCAGGGCGCGCTGTGCAATGTAGAGCCACTTATGAAAACAAAAGGCAAAAAACAAAGGGCCCAAATGTGCGTGTATGACTATGCATACCAAACAAAAGAGACACTTGATAGAGACCAGAAGAAGAAGAGATGGACCAGAAACTGCCATCGGCCAATCCTAGTGGACAGCAAACCCACAGGAAGTGGGACCGTATCTGTCCCATGGAATTGTGGGACAGTTAGAGTCCGAATGGACTCATCACTGTTCCTGCTTTCTTTCAGGTTCTCTTTCTGAGGATGATCTTTCAGCTTGGTTTTGACCTGTAACGGCACAGCTGCCATGTCCCTTTTCCCAGTCGTGAGAGCTTTTCTGCAGGAAGCATTATGAAATCTAGTTCACTCATGCTAGGTTGACCATACGTGCCATTTTCCCAGGACGCGTCCTGGCCAGAATTTGTTTTGGCTTTGTTTTCCTGTTTTCATGCTTGCTGAAGGTAATGATCGAAAAGTAGTTTAACCAATAACATGCAAGCATTGTACATAATGGACCAATCATGGCGTGTGAGAAGGTGGGATCTACGGTCAAAGCGATGCAATTACGCGTACATATTAGGTGTGTTCGACTTAAAAACAGCACGGCTCAGACCGATCAGTGTTTGACATCAAAGTACCTCGAGAGCGTTTCCAAAGCATAACCGTCTGTACTTTGATGTCATACACCGATCGGTCTGCACACGCAAACAAAGCCAAAACCTAGATATTTTAGGAAATATAGAAATCCTGGCCAGAACGTGTCCTGGGAAAATGGCACGTATGGTCACCCTAGTACTATAGTAAAGTGTATTATACTGTATATATTATAGTATTTACAACACTTTGTTAATGAATGCTACAGCATACTGTAGTATTAACTATAGTGAACTTATAAACTGTAATAAACACTGTAGTATAATTTAGTTTTTACTACAGTAAACATTGTAGTATAATGTACCCTAGTTGTAGAAAACTTAGTACACGTAGGCTATTGGGTAAAGTAATTTGTTTATATTACTATAGTTGTTATATTACCACAGCAACTATAGAATTACCA